GCGCTGCCATGGGCTAGGGCACCCTGCTCTGGGCTCTTTGTGAGTCAGTCCTCAGCCTTCTCGAAACAAAAACACCCACTGGCACAAGAGTGCCTCAGGCCCTGAACCCAGATCACTTCAGTGACTTTAGATAAAGTGGTAGCAAGAGACACACATTCAATCTTTTTTCTTGGTTATTTATTGAGCACTCACTATGTGCCAGGCAGTGCACCAGCCTGAGGATGGAACATTGAGTTCAACCTGATCCCTGCCCCCAGGAGCTCACAGATTAATCACAAAAGGAGGTGGACACCCAGGGTGGCGCGTGCTGTGATAAAAGTTAGGGGAGATGACAAGACCCCAAGAAGAGACCTGGAGAGACAGAGAAGTTTTCCTGAAGGCAGGATATCTAAGCCAAGACAGAAAAGGTGAGCAGAAGTCAGCTAGGTGACGAGGACATGGGGCAGGAGTCAGAGAGGGGAGAGGGTGCTCCAGGCAGAGGACTGGCTGATCAAAGGCTCGGTTGCAGGAAGAAGCCAGTGAGTCCAAAGAACTTCATGGTTTCATAGGGCCTAGGATAAAAAGCTGGGTAAGTGGGCAGGGACCAGATCCCAAAGGGCCTTAGAAGTGATTAAGACACTGGTGCTTTTTCTGAGAGCAGTAGGGCACCACTGGAAGAATCTCAGTGGCTGGAGGAAGACCAGGATGTGCAGGCAGGCCCTGGCTCAGCACTAGTTCAGGATTAGAAAGCACAGAGAGAAGTGTGAGCTCAGGCCCTGCACTCCAAAGCTCATGGCACCCATGGGCTGCACTGGAGACCCAGCCAAGCTGAGCGTGAGGCATGCAAGGCACATGGTGCTAAGGCTGAGAGGCAGGGTAGGAGCTCACATTTATTGGGTGCCCACTATGTGTCAGGATTTGCACTGAGGCACCGCACTTCTGGCATCCAACTCAGTCATCAAGGCTATCGTAGGGCTCCTCGGACCACCCCCATTTTACAGATGAAAAGACCAAGGCTCAAAGAGGTTTCCTTCACAATGTCATCAAACTAGGAAGGGGACGGTACCAAGGTGGGAGGTCAGCCAGTGCTCTTTCTCCTCCTCTATGTGGGTCAGAGGATGCAGGAGGGGCTTCATGGAGGAGATAAGGTGTGAAGAGCTAGAAGGCTGTTCCCTGAGTCCCAGAGTCACGTCTCAGGCAGAGTGGTGGGTGCTAAGAGTCAGGTGTGTAGACATGAAGGGAGGCAAATGGGATGACTGCAGGTCCAGGTAAACAGGGACTTTGTCCATCAGAACCTTGGGGATGAGTCCTGTACCTGCTCTGTAAGGGAAACAGCAGCTTTCCAGAGAATGAAACCAGTGAGTAAAGGATATAGTCCCCAATCCTCTAAATGTGAGGATGTGAGGCTGCCTACATGCTATTAACCTGGGGTGGGTTTCCTCAGAGCTACTTGCTCTGGAAAACCTCCCAAGCGTCTAAGGTTAATTAATAGTCAGGAACTGTTAGTTATATGAATGGAAATGAATAACTGACAAGGATGTAAGATGTCTCCAAGGGAAATAAGGCCTGGACCAGGTAGCATAAGGGGTGCATGGGTCAAGTAGGTTCTTCCATAGAGTTCTTGAAGAATGGCACACTCGCTGGCATGCCACCAATGATTCTGGGACCCCTGGAAAGCCCAGAGCTGAGCTTGATTGCTCCCCAAGCCAGCCCACCATGCACCGGAAAAAGATGTCCCTAGCTGTGTTGACTGAGCCCAGTTCCCTGGTAGGCAGTCAGCAAGTTGGGACATTCAGACATCCTGTGGAACCTAGCTCCATCACTATGCTCAGTTGACCTCAGGAAATGAAACCAGTTTCCATGACTAGTGGACTCAAATGGAAAGGTGAAGCACAAGAAGTTCAACAGGGGAGTCAATGCCAAAGCCTTTACAGACTTCCCGAGGTTCCCTATATACCGGCCCCCTCCCCATTAGTGACCAGTGCAGAGGAGGCCGGGAGGAGGGGCTCCTGCCCCTGAAAGGTCCTGGATCTAGCCCACCATCGGTGGTGTTCAAACTGAGTTTCCCTTTGCCCTATTCTCTGCCAGTCTTCCTCACCGACTCCCTCTCCTCCTGCCCCCACTGAGGATGCCTCTTGGTCACCACCCAGGATGATACTTGGTGCTTCCCATGCTTCTGGCGCCTTCTTCCACATCCTGCTTCTCCCCCAGCACCATAGGCCACATGCTGTTACCCCTCTTCAATCAAAGTGAACCCCTTGCTCCTGTGATAGAGACCTTCGGGAGAGGAGTCTTCACACCCTCTCCCCAGGCGGCTGCCCTCCCGCGTCCCACATGCGTCACTGTGGAGATGGGCTTTGTGGTTCTCCTCTGAAGTCTCTCTCCACGCAGGGCCCCCCTTTGCCTTTTGCTCTGTACACACTGGAGATGGAGAACAAGTCATCCTCTTGCCTGGAGCCAGCCCTGCTGTAGGAACGGCTGAGCCACTCAGTTTTCTCATCTCGGGGGCGGCACACACCGCCTTGTGCTGCAAGGACTGTTTCCATCCCCGCGGCTTTCCTCTGTCCCCCTTCCGCTCCCCCTCCAAGGTCTCTGAGCCCTGGTGAGCTCTGGTGGCTCAAGGCCGCAGAGAAGATGCCAAGCAGGACTGATGGGGCTGCAGTATGGGAGAGATTAGCTCATCTCTTCTCCGTGGTGTCTGTCTGATTCGGACCTCAATCTGGGACAGTTTGAAAACAGCTTCCCTGCCAAGTTCACCTCACCGTGTTCCACTCTTCTCCCTGATCCACAGCCCTCTCCCACCATGCTGGCTTACCAGCAAACCTCACTGGCTTTACTTCAGCCTAGTAGCTTGACCTAAAGGTCTCCTGGTTGAATTTGAGCCTGGCATGTCTTCACATGTCTCCAGTGTCCAGCTTTCCAAATATTCTGCACCATGAGAGGCATCATGCTGAGAGCTGGACTTGAGTCTGGCCCCACTCTGAACTCAGTTGCGTGACTCTGGGTAAGTGATCAAACCTCTGTGAGCCACAGTTTCCACATCTGTAAAATCAGGATAATAACACCTGCCTGTTCCAAGGATCAATGAGCAAGTGAACATGAAGATGCTCTGTAAAATGGCACTTCCCAAACCACACTCCGCAGAACTTTGCTCCCAGGACGGATATTGAGAAACTATTTAGGAAAAAAAAAAAAAAAAGGACTTCCTTGGCAATCCACGGTTAAGACTTCACCTTCCAGTACAGGGGGTGTGGGTTCGACCCCTGGTCTGGGAGCCAGGATCCCACACGCCTCATGGCCAAAAAACCAAAACATAAAACAGAAACAATATGATAACAAATTCAATAAAGACTTTAAAAATGGTCCACATCAAAAAAGAATCTAAGAGAATCTTTAAATAAAATGGTCCACAGCAAAAATATGTGTGTGTGTGTGTGTGTGTGTGTGTGTGTGTATTAAAAAAAAAGTTTTATGTCAAGTCTGAGGAAGACTGGCCTTAATCAAATCAGCCAGGTTTTCTTGACTTCAGGGTGTCCCACAGCCTTTCATTTGCTGACATGCATGATGACTCTCCCAGAGCAGGGTACAAAATATAGCTTTGTCTCAAGACAACTTTTTACACAGACTATCATTAACCTTTTAGGTAATTCATTTCCACAGAACATAGCATATGTGAATATTTATTCCACAAATAATAATAGTCACCTTTTCACAAGAGTTATTCTATCATCCAGGGCACTAATCCTGGATAATGCCAGTTAATCAATATCTGAAAAAATATTGCCAGAACTCCTTCAGTCATCTCAGTATTGTGTTGTGGAAGGCAGAGGAGAGGGGACTTGGTACTGAAGTTCTCTCAGTTGGACTCCACCCTTATTTCCCGCCATCCCCACGCTGCACTGTGTCGCAAACAGCTTGACCAACCCATTGTCCTGTATACACATCTTTCGTGTTCCCACACCCCTGCCTTTGTCCCATCTCTCTCTCTGCCAAGGTGCCTTCCTCCCACCTCTACCAACGTGATAGTAATTCATTCTTCAAGTCTCAGCCAGGTCCCACTATTCTGTGAAAGTTCTTCTCACCATTGCAGTGTGTTCTAGAAAGGAATACTGACCCCAGCCCAGCAGGGAGCACCCAGAGGCAGAGAGAATTATTCTTGCTTCCTGATTTTCTCCAAAACCCAGAGTTTGTTTGATCACTGCCCTCCACCCCTTCACAGACTATAAGCCCAATTTTGGCAACTTGAACTTCCAACTAGTTATGGGTCCTTCTGACCCAGAGAGTCAGTGGTGGGCTTGCTGATGTGTTCATTCATTCAGTAGATGCTTAGTTTAGTAGACTGCTGGGAATCCAAGGTTGAGTCAGCCAAGGACTCTGCCTTTAAGGAGCTCATGGACAGGACAGAAGCATTAACAATTCACTGCAAGTCACTGTCTTGAGTGTAATAATAGAAATAATGTGGGAGCACAAAATAGGATTCAGGATGATAGCAGGTGAGGATCAAGGCAGGCTTCCCAGAAGATGGTCCCACCCCCGACTCCATGCATCCCTCTATGTATAGAGAAGATGTCATCTAGAGGAGACATGGTAAGGTGATGGGGGTGGTGATGGTTACCTTTAGGGAAGAAAGACCACTGGAGACCTCATAGGAGGGCAACTCACGTTCATCCCCTGGATCACAGGAAGGGAGGACTCAGCGGAGCCAGAGGGTTAGGGCAGATGCTGAAAGGGAAAATGTCCGAACATGCACACACACACAGTCTATGGGAATCCCACTTCCTTGCTTTTCCATCATACCTTCTTCCTTCTCACTTGCCCTCATTTTTCCTTTCCAAGTCCTCCGTCACCTCGCGGTCCTGGGGCCATTCATCGTTACCTCATTGAAACAGTTCAATGTTTGCTCTCAGTAGCTAGAGGTCTGCTTTGGTAAGAGGCTGGTCAGCGCAATGCCCACTCCCTGTTGGGGGGCCTTGGGGAGAAAGGTCAGCCTAGAATCAGTGCTTTCTCTTATCTTCCCACAGAAAACCAAAAGAGATGTCAATAATTTTGACCAAGACTTTACCCGGGAAGAGCCAGTACTCACACTTGTGGATGAAGCGATTGTGAAGCAGATCAACCAGGAGGAATTCAAAGGCTTCTCCTACTTTGGTGAAGACCTGATGCCCTGAGCAGCCGCTCCCGGTGAAGTTTGGTGATGCTGCAAGCAGGGGCGCCGGGAAGATTCCTATTTTCCCATCAGATGGTCTTGAACTACTTCTCCCCGGAGCCCCAGTCCCTTGTCCACCCTCTATTTATTGCATTCCCTCACCCCGGGGCGAGCTCCTCCCCCCTTCCACCTGATGACCAGAGGCACTCTTGGTTCTCGTCTCACACACTGCAGAATTGTGCAGGGTCAGCAGTTCACTGGACCCTCTGCTGAGTTTGGTCTGTTGGCAAGCCTGGCTTTGCTCCTCGGGGGCTTCTGGTAAGGAAGGAACTTCAGGTCTTTTACTGCAAAGAAAAGAAGGAAGAAAAAAAGCAAGCAAGACTCTGGCTCTGTTTTTGAACATAGAGTCCTGACAATTCTTGCTTCTCCTCACTCCAGTCCCCCACCCACCACCTGCCACCCTCTGCCATTCTGTCCAGAAGAGAAGAAGAGACTAGTGCTTCTTCAGCCCAAGGGTGGGCGCCCTCAAGGCGTGCCCAGGAAGGAGAGAGGTTGGAAGACCCCTGATCGGCTCGCTGTGTTGGTTTGCTCTGGAGTGGCTCATTGTCATTTGCTTTGGTTTTAGATTTGGGGCATGCCAAAGTTGTATAAGCATGTATCTTGTGAAAGAAATTGTTCTCCTTAGAAAAAGAAATTTGATTTGAACTCTATTAATATTTCAAAAATAGATTATCAAATTTGCTTTCTAATTGGCCAAAAGAAATAAATTCCAGTGTTAATACAGGTAGATATTAAAGGGCTAATATACAATGAGAAAATCATCAGCCATGGTGTATGCTCTTAATGCTTTTGTGGCACCTGGGGGCTCTGAATTGAGAGAAAAGAAAACTAGTACAGCTCTTTATTGTTCAAGTTCTGCCTGAACTCCATGGCTACCCCGCAGAGTGGTCAAGACCCTGGGTTCTAGCAAAACTCAGATTCTCCAGTTTCATCCTGAATCCCCAGCATCAACTCTATTTATTTTCTGCAGCAGTGTGTGATTTTTGCGCACTTCTACCAAATGATAGTACTACTGTGTTGTGGTTTTTAAACATTAAACCTGTAAAGTTAAATATAAAATATCTGCTTTCGGAACAAGCAGCATGAGGCTAAACATGGGTTATGTAGAGGGTATCAGGAGATTGAAGAGCGACTTATTGGAACACTGACAGAGTGGCAAGATGTTCTCAGAGCGTTGTTTCTGTGTGACATGCAAGGGCAACTCATGTGGACACTATTTAATGGATGTGATGTTACCTCCTGGAGATATGCTACCAGTGTTACATTCTTTGATTTCCAAGGATTCTCTGTGGCTTTGTGTGTTATGTTTCCCGGAGGTCGTTGGATTTTCTATTTCACTGAACTGACTTAGCAGGGAATGGAATCCATTCCAACGATTGCACGTGGATTTCCCAGCTGCCCCTAAATATATATACTTGTGAGTGGCAAAGTGGCACTAATGAAGCTTTTTGCCTTTTGTACATTTGAGATTTTTTGTATATAGTGTTTGCTGCAAGGCCTGTGGAATTAATTCATTGAATTTAGAGGTATCAACTGCTGCATGTTCAGGCATATTATAAACTTTAGTCTATGAAAGAATAATTATAATAATGTCCAGGTGCAATACTCTGTAAGCGTATTGGTTCAAGTTACCGAGAGATAAGGTGTGTTTCCTTTTTTCTTTCTTTTTCTGGGAGGCGGGGGGCGGGAGAAGGGGTGTTCTTCATATTGTTTATTTCATTTTGGTTTATTTTAAAAGATGTAAACATGTATTAAGCTATATTAAATCTCACATATAGTTCTCCTATGCTCTATTATACCCTGATAGAGATGGGGAAGAGAAAGGAATGTTCTGGATGGTTGTTTCAAAGTTTGGACAGTGACTAGCTCAAGCCCATACAGAGCTGGTGCCCATATTTGCATCTGGCTAGTCGTGGCCTTGGTTATTAGTGATGACATTCACTTCTCTTTTATTTTGATTTTTGAAAAAACTCAGGTGTAATTATTATCTGTTCTTGTTATAATTTCAAATATTATGCTATATCAATTTGTGTGTTCAGCATACCAGTGAAGAGATGAAGAACAGTAGATTAATTTAATTTATCTTCGGTAACTTGACATAGTAGGGGGAGACTATCTTCCGGAGTTGAGGACAAGCACAGAAACATCTTCATGGTGGCGTCATCTCATTTTTTAGGAAAACATGACAATACTGCCCGTCTTACTCATGAATCACTACTGCTTTCTGTTTTCTTCTCTGCTTCCTTCACCCTGATGATTGAACGACCAAGCAAGCTCTTAAACTGTCATGCCAAATGGCCTTGTCCAAGGTATTCCCATGTCAGCAGGGGTTGGGCCCTTCCTACGGGACAACTGGCATTTTTGTTGGAAGACGAATAATAATTCATTCTACCCAGCAGCTCCAAGCAGTCACTCAAGCAGGTTGCCTGGCTCAGAGATGCCCCCTTCCAGCCCCCAGACATGGGCTGACTGGGATGCCTCCTGCTTGAAAGCTGGTCAAGTTCTTACACAGGCATTCAAATCCTATGTAGTCTGTAGAATAGAGCTTGTATGTTCCTTGAATATTCATTGTTTCATTTCGGTTTTCACAAGAGTTTGGAAGCAGACACACTATTACATTTCTGCTAATTCTTTCTAATCTTTCCAACTAGCTTGCTCACTTTTTTTTTTTTTTTTGATTCANAGGAGGGAGTATAAAAAAATGCCAAAAAAATATATGAAGGATAGCTGTTCTCCTGTGTTCTCTCATTATGGACTTTGTGAAGTGGAAATAATTTTTTTTTCCTCCAAAGGTGAAAAAAATACGTTTCTTACATTAAAAAAAAAAGGCTAAAAAATTACCTCTTTTTAAATTATGTGCAAAATAATTCTGGCTAAATATCAAATGTATTCAACTTTAGGGATTTTTTTTTTTTTTGTATTGTGATGCTTTATTTGTACATTTTTTTCCTTTCAGGATGTAATTTTAATCTCTTGCCATTCATTAGTGTTATTTCATTGTAAACATTATTGTGCCAAATGTACTGTATTCAAAAGGATGTGAATGTGTATTGTTTCAGAACCTAATAAATACAATGACGTTAAATCTTATTTCTGGATCCTATTGAGCATTTTATCTCCTGGGCTCCATTTTATCTCCTTGGTGAGTGGCAAGGTGGCGCTAATGAAGCTTATTGCTTTTTAGACATTAAAGATTCCAAATTCCCAAACCTAGACAAGGTTTCGACTTTTCTCTTATCCTTTGAAGATGAACAAAGATGCAAATGACCGTATATGCATCCTCCCCTTGCCCACCCCTGCCTGGCCTCTGCATTTCAGGGACTGCCAACCAGAAGCGTGGAGGGGGCCTGAGAAGACTGGATGGGCTCTGGGCTGCCTGGGTGTGAAGCTGCCTTGGAGTGCTGGGAGATGGCCAAGCAACACTGAAAGCACTTCATTTTCAACTTTCTAGAGAAGAAAAGACTGGATCTTCTTGCAACCCATTCAACCTCTTCAAGACTCAGTGTCTGACCTGCTGCTCAGAACTTTAGGCCTTAGGAATCCAAGAAGCTCCTATGAGGCTGGACGCCTCCCATGACTTAGGTATATTATCCTGAAGGCACTCGTCTCTCAGTCCCTTCCCCCTCCCCCACCAGCAACCTCATCTGCCTACCTAAAGATGTAAGCATGGACCTCCAGACCCACTCCAAGAAGAAGGTTGTTCAGTTCAGTTCAGTCGCTCAGTCGTGTCCGACTCTTTGCAACCCCATGGACTGCAGCATGCCAGGCCTCCCTGTCCACTGCCAACTCTCAGAGTTTACTCAAACTCATGTCCATTGAGTTGGTGATGCCATCCAACCATCTCATCCTCTGTTGTCCCCTTCTCCTGCCTTTAATCTTTTCCAGAATCGGGGTCTTTTCCGATGAGTCAGTTATTCACATCAGGTGGCCAAAGTATTGGAGTTTCAGCTTCAGCATCAGTCCTTCCAATGAATATTCAGGACTGATCTCTTTTAGGATGGACTGATTGGATCTCCTTGCAGTCCAAGGGGCTCTCAAAAGTCTTCTCCAACACCACAGTTCAAAGGCATCAATTCTTTGGTTCTCAGCTTTCTTTATAGTCCAACTCTCACATCCATACATGACTACTGGAAAAACCATAGCTTTGAGTAGACGGACCTTCGTTTCCAAAGTAATGTCTCTGCTTTTTAATATGCTGTCTAGGTTGGTCATAACTTTTCTTCCAAGGAGCAAGTGAAGCAAGGAGAAGGGTGTATTAATCACCATTTTCCTCTCTGATTCAGACAGCTGTTTCTAGGTAAATGACCATCCTAGGAGAAACAAGCTTCCCACCAGCATGTCTGAGTTTAAATAAAAACAAAATTGAATTAAAAGATGTTGTTCTTAGAAGGTCAGAAGACATCTCCAAGCATATTACTGAATGAAATATAACCAGTCTACACCTCCCTTGCCTAGCAGTCCAGAAGAGACAACTCCAGAGTCCTGAAGATGAGGAAATTCATTCTCCCCAAATCCATGTGCTCAATAAATCACCTTGGAGCTATAAAAAAGGTCAATTGGTGATCAGAGTACCTGGTTTAGAGCCTCTTCCCTCAACTCCCACTATGTTCTAGAAGAGGAAGTCAAGCAATGCCATGCCTATTCTAAGAAAACCAGGGCCACTGGTCCCTGGCAAGGGTTAGGTGGCTCCAGAGCTGCTTCAAGAAAGCCTATCTGTGTGGCTTTGCCCCTGAACTGAGAAACAACAGGTCTAACAGATTTCACACAGAGGGAATTTATGGGAAGACTAGTCCTTCTCTATTTCCATGGACCTGAGTACAGTGCAGTGCTTGGATTACCAGGAGCCTGAAGATCTCCATGCAATAAAATTACTAAACCACAAAGTGTGCACTGTCATAGTGCTTACAGCAGCAGAGAGATGGAGTGGGAAAACAGCATAGAAGCCATATCATGAAGTCGGGTTTTCAATTTCAAGTTCTTTAGCCTAGATAATGATATAACTTGGGTGGTATATTTGAAACTAGACCTGAAGGATGAGGAGCTATCCTAATCAGGAATACACCCTCTAGGGACCAGCTGATTGGCTAAATAGATAGTATTTATTTAGAAGGTACTACAAGTGCTTCTTTACTATGGACAGAGGAGCCTGGCAAGCTGCAGTCCATGGGGTCACAGGAGTCGAACAGGACTTAGCAACTCCACCACCACCACCACAAGTGCTTCAGCTCTTTTTCATCTCCCACCAACTCCTGGGAGTTTTGTTATTAGCATAAAGAATGCTAGAAAAGGATTCTCAAGGAAACCAGTAGCTTGTTAATTAGCATAAAGCATGTCAGAAAGATGACATCAGTGATGTTTGAGATAAGTACATTGGCAAATATATTTTAAGACAAATATCCATTTTTTAAAAAATGAGGATATGAGAAACTAGAGGGTCTTTAATTCCCTTAGTGACCAGGGAAATGCAAATTTAAATCAAACTGCAATACCACTTCACATCCACCAGAATGACTAACCTAAAAAGGCAGACTTATCAAATTTTACTAAAGGATGTGGAGCAATTGGAGCTTTTAGTGTCTCAGATTTGACTATAAAGTGGTACAACTACCTTGAAAAACTTTGGCTGTATCTATTGAAGCAAATACCCTTGACTTAATAGAAAATTTACCAGCTGGATAAATAAATTGTGGAATTTTATATTAACACAATAGAATACTAGATAGACATGAGAATGAATGATTTACAACTACAGACATCACAGACGAACTTCACAGCATAGTGTTGGGTTTGAGAAGTCAGGCATGGCGCAGACTATGACTCCATTTATGTAAAGTACAAAATAGTTTGTGCTGCTAGAAGTCAAGCTAGTGGTTGCCCTTAGGGGAGGAGAGGCAATGACTAGGAGGCAGCAAGAAAGGGCTTCTGGAGAGATGGTTTAGTTTTGTTTTCATTTTTGTTTTACTTACTTAATTGGGGGTATAGTTGCTTTGAAATTTTGTGTTAGTTTCTGCTGTACAATGAAGTGAATCAGCTTCGTGTATACATACATCGCCTCCCTCTTGGACCTCCCTCCTACCCACCAACCCCCTCCATCATCCTTCCCCAGATTATCAGAGAGCTGAGCTCCCTGTGCCATACAGCAGATTCCCACTATCTGCTTTACACATGGTGGTATATATGTCAGTCCCAATCTCCCATTTCATCCCATCCCCTCTTACTTGCCCCCCTTGTCCATATGTCTGTTCTCTATGTCTGCATCTCTATTCCTACCCTGCAAATAGGTTCATCTGTACCATTTTTCTAGATTCCATATATCTGCATGAATATGTGATGTTTCTCTCTTTCTGACTTCACTCTGTATGACAGTCTCTAGATATATCCACATCTCTACAAATGGCACAGTTCTGTTCCTCTTTATGGCTGCATAATAATCCATTGTATATATGTACTACATTGTCTTTATCCATTCATCTGTCAATGGACATATAGTTTGTTTCCATGTCCTGGCTATTGGACATGGGGTGCATGTATCTTTTTGAATTATGGTTTTCTCAGGGTATATGCCCAGGAGTGGAATTGCTGGGTAATAACATAGTTCTATCTTTGGTTTCTTTTAAGGTATCTCTATACTGTTCTCCATAGTGGCTATATTAATATACATTCCCACCAACAGTGCAAGAGAGTTCCCTTTTATCCACACCCTCTCCAGAATTTATTGTTTGTTGATTTTTTGATGATGGCCATTCTGACCAATGTGAGGTGATACCTCATTGTGGTTTGGATCTGCATTTCTCTGATAATTAGCAATGTTGAGCATCTTTTCATATGGCTCTTGGCCATCTGTATGTCTTCCTCGAAGAAATGTCTGTTTAGGTCTTCTGCCCATTTTTTAATTGGGTCATTTGGGTTTTTTTTTTTTTTTCTGATATTGAGCTTCAAGAGCTATTTGTATATTTTGGAGATTAATCCCTTGTTGCTTGCTTCATTTGCAAATATTATCTCCCATTCTGTGGGTCTTTCTGTCTTGCTTATGGTTTCCTTTGCTGGGCAAAAACTTTTAAGTTTAATTAGGTCCCATTTGTTTATTTTTGTTTTTATTTTCATTACCCTAGGAGGTGAGTCAAAAACGATCTTGCTTTGATTTGTGTCAAAGAGTGTTCTTCCTAAGTTTTCCTCTAAGAGCTTTATAGTGTGTGGTCTTATGTTTAGGTCTTTAAATCCATTTTCAGTTTATTTTTGTATATGGTGTTAGGAAGTATTCTAATTTAATTCTTTTACGCGTAACTGTCCAGTTTTGCCAGCACTACTTATTGAGGAGAGTGTCTTTTCTCTGCTGTATATTCTTGCCTCCTTTATCATAGACTAGGGGCCCATATGTGCATAGGTTTACCTCTGGGCTTTCTACCCTGTTCCACTGACCTATGTTTCTGTTTCTGTTCCAATGTCATACAGTCTTGATTACTGTAGCTTGGTAACATAGTCCAAAGTTAAGGAGCCTGATTCCTCCAGCTCCATTTTTCTTTCTCAAGTTTACTTTGGCTATTTGGAGTCTTTTGTGTTTCCATACAAACTGTAAAATTTTTGTTCTAATTCTGTGAAAAAAAATGCCATTGACAATTTGATAAGGATTGCATTGAATCTGTAGATTGCTTTGGTTAGTATAGACAGTTTCACAATAGTGATTCTTCCAGTCCAAGAACATGATATATCTATCTCCAGCGGCTTGTGTCATCTTTAATTTCTTTCATCATTATCTATGGTCAACTTCCAATGGCCAGCCACAACACTCATCTTCAAGGCTCTCTTGTCTCCTTTGCAAAACTTCTTAAATCACCACTGCACTGTACGTTTGTTAGCAGCTCCTGGTTGTTTCAGTTGTTGATGTTGAGAGTTGTTTCCGCTGCTTTATGACCCATTTTGAACTCAAATAGATTGCTTAAATTTGTTTTTTATCTAAATCATTTCTATAGTCTCAAGTAAATTTAAAATAAGCAGCAATTAATGTCATTAGCAAAAAAACATGAAGCGAGAAATGCACATTAAAGTGATGTATAATGTAACCATATTTACTTAAGAATGTATTCCAATAG